GTGCAGGATCGGGATCGGGGCCCGGACCCTGTTTCTGCGGTGCCGCGGGAAGAGCCCTGGATCGTGGGGACGGGGGGGGCTCCCCTCGGACACGGGGGTCCCCTTTGCGAACTCCACCTTCCTCTGCCCCGCTTGGAGGACTGAAGGCGTCCGGACGCCCCTCCTGGCCTTTTATCAGCGTCGCGGTAGGCAGATACTCGCCAGGTGGAGACTTTAATACTATAACCCCCCCCCCCCGGTTGAAATGTGGTTTGTTTGCAAGGCACAACCTCCCTGCCGGATGGGACTTACTCCTCTTGAGAAGGAGGGCGAGCCACCGAGTTCAACTGCGGGACTACCACTCCCATCAGCTTTGGGGAGCAGTGGGGGATGATGGGGCATGTAGTCCAGGAGTATCTGGAAGACCGCACGTTGGCCATCCTCAGTTTCAATGAAGCCTAGCAGAGTCAGAAAGGAAGGTTTAGGGTCTTCCTTGCTTGTAAAGGAAAGGAAGGGGGGGAAAAATAGGGTCAGGTGAGGGATGAAAATGGAGAACTTGATGCACCTGAAGGCCAGCAGGTGATGGACGGAAGGGCACCGGGGGTCTCCTGCCTCTCTCTGAATTTATTGACTGTCTTAAAATACCCAAGGTAGAAATTTCAGACAGCTCATTAAATGCACATCTTTCCTACATGTCATTGTGTTTTAGAAAATGGAAGAGGGGATGATGTGTTTGCTTTTCCTTTTAGAGCAAGGTGGCTGATGGGTCTGGTTGCCCCCATCTTTTCTGGCATGCCTAATTTTGCGATGCCTGTGACTTTAAGAGCTCTCTCTCTCTCTCTCTCTCTCTCTCTCTCTGTATGCGCAGGGAGAAGGGGGGGGCGTTATTTGCCTTCCCTCCCTGCGACCGGCTGATGTTCAAAGCAGGAGAATAAGCCCTTGAAAAAGGAGCAAGGGTTTAAAAGGCTGCCCTTCCGTCTTGTGTAACCATGGGTTGGAGGAGAAGCGCGCTCATCCCCTTGGGTGTGGATTAAAGGTTATTTAAGGTAGAGATTCTCAATCAAGACGCTGCATTTGCCTAGATGAGATACAGGGCATTTTCAGCACATTTGCCTTGAAAATTATTATTCAATCTGCTCTTACCTGCTTGGCAGTGTCACCTGGCTGCCGCAGCTTTACCTGTCTGCAATGGTTTTGCCAGGCTTGTGGGAAATTCAGATGCTTACTGTTTCTCTTAACCCCGATCCCTCTGCCAGGCACATTTCCCTGTAGGATAAATGTCATTACAGGAAGTCTTTAAGCATATAAATGTCTTTCTTTCGTGTGGGGTATTGGTGGAACGGGACTTGGTTCCATCTTGGGGGGAACTAAAGCTGTGTGATAGAGTGGCTGGCGAGGCATAACATAGGAGGAAAGGAGATCTGTTGGTTTTAAATTTGGAAACTGAACTGTTAAAAAGAAGGAATATTAAAATGGTGTTGCATCCATCCATAGCTGAGCATTGGTAGGACGTTACTGCCCCTGACGAGTTATCGGCAGCTCCAGAGAGTTGTTCTGTTTATTTTTGCCCTTAATAATAGTAACAATACTGTAATTATGTGCTGTCCAGTTTTACTAGAACAGACAAGTTTTATAGAAGAGTAAAGTTTCTGAAAAACTTGGATGGCTGGAAGTCAAGCTGTGAGCTAGTATAGAGAACCATGTTTCTAGTCCCTGTGGGGCCTTGGAAATCGCTGAATGACTTCAGTTAGTCTTGCTCGGCTTGCCCTGCAGGGTTGTTATGTTGTTGTGATGATGATGATGGCAACAGCAGCAGGAGAGCTGTCGTAACTGCCTTGAGTTATTAGAGAAAATCCAGAATCTTAGTGGAACTGATGATGATGATGATGACGACGACAGCTACATAGTAAGCAGGAGAGTTGTTGTAACTGCCTTGAGTTATTAGAGAAAAGGCAGAATCTTAGTGGAACAATCAGTAAACCAATGGCTGAAATCCATGAGTAAGTTGCAGCTAGAGTTAGCTCCCTTGAATCAGTGGGGATTTGGTAAGTCAGTTCCTGTAGGTTCTGTGGATTCAATGGGCCTTCTCTAGTTATGACTTCTGAATTTCAACCAGTCGGTACTTTTTTGAGATACCCTAAGTGCTTTTGAATAGGTGGACTGCCAAGCAAGGCTGAAATTGGACGAAGCTGTCATTTCTGTAGTACAGTGGTATTTTTGCTGTTACCAGCCCTCGGTCGGAGGGGATTTAGACCTGAATCTTTGATGGCTCCAAGCTGAAGATTTTGTGGTTGAAGCCTTCTGCTAGGGATACTCAGCAGAGGATTTTTGCTTTTATGCACTTTCTGCTGGCACGTGCGTGATTTAATCCCCATACTGGCCGATTTTTGTCTTTGAGTTGGCTGGTCCTGAAAACGTATGTCTTGATAGACTTCGAATCTTGTTTAAGTGTCCCAGACACTAAAATTCTGGCTGTATTTGGGTTGGAAAGATCATGTGGTTCCTGGCAGTCAGAATATACTGGTGAAAGGATGCAGAAGCTTGCAAATTTTGATGTTAAACGGTTGCAAATATTTATTGCCCACGGCTGGAGGAGGTGTGTGAGACAGTAAAGGAAGCGGCTGATATTTGTTCTATTTTTATTGCACCATAATTTCAAGAACAGACTGAAGGTGGTATAATTAAACAGAACAAATAAAGTGAACACATACAAAGAAGTAAAATATACAAATCATGGTTTTGAAACATACCGGTAGAAGAAAATGCAAAATCCACTCTTACTTTCGCAGCAGGCAGGGTGATTTGCTAAAGCCCCATCCTCAATGAAAAAAAAATCTTTATATGCCAGCAGAGGGACAACAAAGAAGGATTCTGAGCAACATCCCCAAATTGTTTTAAACTGTGAATGTTTATTTTCCTAAACCAGACAGGGTTTAGTGTGATCCATGGCTCATTCTCTCCCTTTCTGCCTCTTCGCTTCCAAAATCTGGAATGTTGGCTTACTGTGGTTAGATCTTTTCCTCCTTAGATGCCTCCAAAACACCACTGATGTTCTTGGTTGACATGTGAAAAACTCTTAGAACAATGATTAGTGAACACTGAGCAATATTTCCCTCTATTTTCTGCCTTATTTGGTGAACATATTTTTTTGGGAACTGATTTAACAAGGAAACCGCACACATGGCGTCTCAAAAACGTGTCCGGGATCATTGGGAAATGTCTGTTTTGAGGTTAATATGTGAAGGATGTTTTTGTACAGCTGTGCGAGGGTTCATCCCTGTCGTATGAGAAATCTGTGGTTTACTGATTTTAGGATGGCACTGTTTTTTTTCCGTAAGCATGCCTGCCTCCCTGCTCATCTGGTTGAAGAGGGCGAGGTTGCGTTGCCCCATCCTGCTCTGGGTTGCTTGCAAAAATCCCACAGGGAAGCCCATGAACGTCACCGTTGCTGTGCATTCACACTGACTCTGAAGGCCATTTTACAGTTGTTAGGGAGATGCTGTTTACCCAAGACGGAGGTGTTCCCAAGTGAAAAGGGGTGTTTTTTCCCCCTCCCCGCATTCCTTTCTGGCTGTTTTGTCTAGGAGGGCCAGCTTCAAAACACGTTCACAACCCCGTAGGTTGATGTTGTTCAGGGCCAGCTGACTCCTCCTCTCCAGGGAGCAACAGAATCAAATCTAAAGTTTTCGTGGCTTGTTTGAATCCAACAGAAGCTGGCATTTTTTCTCTGCCAAAGCCAGAGGAACAACAGTCCAGGGCTTGGCTGAGACTCGTTTTCTCTAGCTGGATGGGAGAGAAGCAAATAAGACTGCAGATTCCTGATGGGTTTGGATGCCACGTTAAACCAAAACAAGGATTTAAAATCCATGGGTCACTTTACTGTTTCTGCTGTAAGCATCCTTATTCACAAGGGTTGTGTTGCGGTTATGTGCTGTCAAGTTGCCTTTGACCCACGGTGACCTTATGAATGAGTGATCTCCCAAAATGCCCCACCATCAACTGCCTCGCTCAGCAAACGGAAGCTTGTGACTTCCTTTAGGAAGCCTGTGCATCTTCCTCTTTTCCTGCTGCCTTCAGCTTTTCCTAGCATTATTGTCTCTTCCAAAAAATCTTGCCTTCTCAGGATGTGCCCAAATGAGGACAGCCTCTGTTTCAACCTTTTTGCCTCCAGAGAGAGTTCAGGCTTGAACATCTTTCTGGCAGTCCAGGATATCTGGAAATCTCTCTTCCAGCAATACATTTCAAACCAGTTTT